TGTAATCTCTCTCCCAAAGTTTAACTTAATATTTAAAGAAAATAAAATAATAGCTCTGATAGACAGAACCAAGGCATTCCAGGAAGCTTATGGTTTAAAGAAACAGAAGGGGTTATGCATTTAAGGTCTTGTCTTCATCCTTGGCATGAACTGTGAAACTGTTAAGCTTCTGTAATTGGTCACTGACCTGCTTAATCAGGTTCTATTCATATAAAGGAAGTCACAGATCCTAGGCAATGAGGAACTGAAGCACTGGAGTGCTTTTCTTTGGCTCTTAGCAACCATGGAAATTACTCACACTGATGGAAGGATTAAGGAATCATGACTAATACTGAACCATCTCTAAAAACTGCTCATCTTAAATACCTCCTTTCTGGCTTCACTGGATGCCTCAGTGTCTTGGGGTATATAATATTTAGGTCAGGGAAGACCCCACATCATTTCTCTGATGGTTACAGATTTATAATAACACTTTGATCACAAAACGTTTTCAACGAGCATTTGTGAACCTTTTGTACAGAGTCTAACAGCAAGGCAGAACACTCTTTAGTCTTTCTACTGAACCATGGAAAAGGTATGTGTTGGTGTGTGGAGGGGAGCAATCATTTTGTTAGAAAAGCCTGTAATGGCAGATGTCATGGTAACCACTTAAAATTCTATGGCTCAATGATACAGTTGTGGAATAAACTAGGGTTGAGTGGAAAAACAGAGAAAGACGCCGGGCGGTGGTGGCACACGCCTTTAATCCCAGCACTCGGGAGGCACAGGCAGGTGGATCTCTGTGAGTTCGAGGCCAGCTGGTCTCCAAAGCGAGTTCCAGGAAAGGCGCAAAGCTACACAGAGAAACCCTGTCTCGAAAAACAAAAAAACAAAACAAAAAAAACAAACAAACAAAAAAAAGAGAAAGACATTTAATACATACCTTTGTATATACATTATTTATTTGAATGCATTATGAACTTATTTGCCTTCTATACCACAGGGTGAGGGTTTGTCATTTTAATTTTTCATCCTCAGTTCTAGGACCAGTGCGTATTAGGTATTTTAGAGTCTTTGGATTAAAAAGCAGCTGTTCAAAGCAAATTGTCTAAAATGTTTGTTTTATTTTCATTTTTTTCTGATTAAAGACAAAGACCCTCCCATGCATGTAAAAATTGTTCAGGGCAAACATGGGATACCTGCTCCCTCTGCCTTATTCTTAGATCCTCAAGCAAATCAGAGATTCTAGATTAAGAAATTGTGAGGTTTAGGGGTTGGGGACGCAGCTCAGCGATAGAGAACTTGTTGGTCTTGCATACCTGAAGAGTGCTGGTTAGTTTTATGTCAACTGGACACAGGTTAGAATCTTTTGAAACATGGGAACCTCAATCAAGGAAATGCTTCCATAACGTCAGGCTGCAGGCAAGCCTGTGGGGCATTTTCTTAATTAGTGATAGATGTGGGAGGTCCCAGCCCATTGTGGGTGGTGCCATCCCTGGGCTGGTGGACCCTGCTTGAGTTCCTGTCCTGACTCCATTAGATGATGAGCGGTGCTGTGAAAGTGTAAGCCAAAATAAACCCTTCCCTCCCCAGGATGCTTTTGGCCATGGTGTTTCATTTACAGCAACAATAACCCTAACTAAGATATGAAGCTCTAGGTTCGATTCCCAACACGGGGGGGGGGGGGGGGGGGGGGGGGGGGGGGGGGACGGGGACACGACCCACCTAGCTTTAGAATACATGATCAAAGAGAGGAAAACCTCCAGAGCCATTTAAAAATTTTGTTGCCTTTGACAACGTCATACACGCATATTGTCTTAGTCACAGTTCTACTGCTGTGAAGAGACAGAGACACCATGACCATGGCGACTCTTATCAAGGAAAGCACTTAATTGGGGCTGGCTACAGTTTCAGAACTTTAGTCCATTATTATCATGGCAGGAAACCTGGAGGCAGAGGCAGACCGGGTGCTGGAGAAGTAGCTCAGAGTTACATCCTGACCCCCAGGCAAGAGGGAAAGAGAAAACTGGGCCTGGCATGGGCTTCTGAAACCTCCAAGCCCACCCCTAGGAACACATTCCTCCAACAAGGCCGTGGCTCCTAGTCTCTTCCAAGTAGTGCTCTCCCTGATGACTAAGCATTCAGATATACGAGCCTTTGGGGGCCATTCTTATCCAAACCACCACAAATACTTCTGGTATTCCATCACCTTCTTTTATACCCTCCCATTCCTGCGGAAGCCCTTCTTCCCAGCAAGTCCCCCCACCTCCACCTTCATCCCTGTTGTTTTAGAGATTTTAGATTCTTTTTCTTTTCCAAAAACTTTGTTCCTGGGTCTGGAGAGATAACTTAGGGGTTAAGAGCACTGGCTGTTTTTCCAGAGGACCCAGGTTCAATTCCTAGTACCCACATGGCAGCTCACAACTGTAATCTGTAATTCCACTTCTGGGGAATCTGATGCCGTCGTCTGTCTTCTCCTCAGGATTCTGCAGGCACTTGAGGGACATGAACTCACAACCACACATATATATGCATTTAAAAAAAAAAAAAAAGCTGAGCCGGGCGGCGGTGGCGCACGCCTTCAATCCCAGCACTCGGGAGGCAGAGCCAGGAACGTTAAAGGGGCTACGAATTGGGGGAGGGGGCAACTGAAAGGATAAAAAGCGGGGTGTGTGGGAGTATCTACGGTGGGTCCTGCCAAGGTATGCCCCTAAGAGAAGACCCCCCACCCCAGCAACAGAGCTAGTGCAAGAGGTTTATGGGGGGAGGGGGAGGGGGAGAGTGAAAGTGAAAAGCCATCGAGGAGAGGGGACATGAGAGAGGCAGACAGACAGACAGGAAAGCAAGAGGATCAAGAGAGGGTGTTGTGACTGACAGGCACTTTTAAGGGGTGCAGATGTCGCACAGTTGACAGTGGAAAGGCACCTGGTGGCAGGTGATGGCATACAGGCCGCTGCCACAGGAGCGGGAATTTGTGCTGATGTATTGTGTCCCCCAATATTGTGCACCCTAATAAAGTCTATCTGAGGATCGGAGGAAAAAGCCAGCCACTATAGTAAACACAGAGGTCAGGCAGTGGTAGCACACGCCTTTAATCCTATCACTCCGGAGGCAGAGCTCTGTCTGGATCTCGGTAAGCTCAAGGCCACACTGGGAACAGAGCCAGGCGTGGTGGTACATACCTTTAATCCCAGCACTAACCATAAAGGTCTGGAGGTCTGTACAGACAGACAGAAGTAACAGAGCTGGGCAGGACGAGGAAGTGCTGGGCAGAGAGAGGAAGTGAGATGGCAGAACAGAAAGGTGGGTATACAGGAAGTAGGTCTCTTTGGAGACTGAGGGCTCGCAAGGTGAGGTGGGCGTGGCTTTTCGTATTCCTCTGATCTCTCAGGTTTTAACCCCAATATCTGGCTCCAGGTTTTTTATTAGTAAGGCCGTTTAGCAATTTGTCTCATAGGAACTAACATTCCTCCCTTTTGTTTATTATAAAAGGTGAGCGAACAAGAAGGGGTAGTTGGTGAGGCAGGAATGGGGTGCCGTGTTCTCTAGACTGCTTCCTGTTGTCTGGGAGCATTGGCATCTTTGGGGGACCCAAGAAAGCTGGGATGCTGGCCAAGTCCTGGGATAGCTGCTGTTTCACGTGCTGCCAGGCTCTGTGGGCGGTCCAGCACTAGCAAAGTGCAGGCCTAGTTGAAGCAGTCTGTGAGGTTGGGTCACCTGGAGGTAGCCATTTTGAAGCTGTCCGGGGCAGAGATTTTGAGGGGACACCTGGACCTGGCAGGATACTGGCAGAAGATAAAAAGTTTAGGGGGAAAATTATTTTCTTAGTTACTAGAAACTGAGAGAGGGGAATCCCAAGACCAGGCAAAGGGTCTGGCGGTGGGGTTGGGGGAGAGCCTATCCAAAGGAACAGGCAGTAGATGGGCAAATTTAGGCTGTTGATTGACAGTACTTATCTGGAGTCCATTTGCCCCGTAAGAGGTGGATCCAAGTCGACTCCCTGGAGCTTATAAGAATTTTGAGTTTACAAAAAAGAGATAAGTTTTGGACACATTAGCACCAATGATTTCAGAAGTTCCAACCTGTTGGGAAGGGTAGGTGTGGTGGGGTGGAGCTCCCACCTCGGACTTCAAGAAGCAGAGACTTACTCTTCGGGTTTTCTTCTTCTATTTGATCACATGTGGGCTCCAAGGCTGAAGACAGGCCTTCCCTCTCTTAATCCTCCCTCGAAATTTCTTTGCAGATACGCCTAGAGGCGCCCCTCAATCTACACGGGGTTCTTTTTGGTTTTTCGAGACAGGGTTTCTCTGTGTAGCTTTGCGCCTTTCCTGGAACTCGCTCTGTAGACCAGGCTGGCCTCGAACTCACAGAGATCCGCCTGGCTCTGCCTCCCGAGTGCTGGGATTAAAGGCGTGCGCCACCACCGCCCGGTTACGAGGGGTTCTTGAACCAGTCAAGTTGAGTATCAGTGTTAACAATTATGTCAGCTTCCGCGGAAGAGAAGCCCTGACAACCGCAGGCGAACCTCAGGTGAGTATGACACTTCAGCTGTACGTGGTCTGCCGGCAGTGCGAGGAAAGTCAGAGCATGCTTTTCCTGTTGATGTATGGCAGCACATGCACCGTGTACACATTCACGCACACCTGTGTGTGCCAGCGTGCGTGGAGAGGCCAGAGATCAACAGTGGGTGCCCTCCTCTAAGGTCTCCCACTTATTTTGAGACAGGCTGTCACTGAACCTGGGGCAATGTCTGCTGCAGACCGGTCTCTGGGTAGCAGGAAATAGCAGGTGGTAAAGGCATCGGTTAGAGAACACAGGAAGAACATGGCTGAACAGGTGTGCTGAACCTGTGTTTATGAGGAAACAGAACATCCAGGAAAATCCAACCAAATAAAAATCTCGAGTGGAGTACGGTGGCCTCTGCCTGTGAGCACAGCACTGGTTGGTTGGGTGGCTGAGACACTGTCTTTTCTCTCGTGTAAACACAAGTTTTAACGTTACAACGCAAAAGAAATGCGAGCTTGTTCTTGTGGACAATGATGTAACTTTATTGTGTGCCGTCTTTTACACACTGTTAGCTTTTCCAAGTGAAATAAGATTTACGATAAAGTTGTTCTGAAGGAGACACACTGGGCAATAATAGAAAAAGCTGAAGAGAGATTTCTTTTTTTTTTTTGTCTGAAAGTGGAAAACATAAGTTGGGGGTGGGGGTAGGCAGAGATAGGAGAAGCTTCCAGAGATTTCTAAGATCACCATGAAAACAGCTGAGGAGAGCTGAGCGCTTGCCTGGCAAGGGTGAAGAAGTCAGAGGCTGGATGCCCAGCACAAACCAAACCAAACCACAGAAACAGGGCTTTCTTTCTGTGTGCGAGTCCCTGGCACTCCCTGCTCTGTGTGACTTTATTACACAACATAGTGCTCTATTTAACACAAAGTCCACCTGCTCTGGAGAAGTTGTGACAATTCTTAGCTCCCGCCTCAGCATCTGACGTCACTCTGACATGTCTACCTACTGCTTCCAGGGAGGTGTTCAATAAGGGAGGCCAAGTCACAATCCATTGTCAGAAACATGAGAACTGAGCTGAATGTGGGGGCTGAGGCAGGGGAATTACCATGAGTTCCAGGCTAATCTGGCTCCACGTGAGATGTTATCTCAAACAAACAAAAGAAAAGCAAAATAAAAAGAAACAAACACATAGCAAAACTAAAAGAAACACTAGAATCCAGAAGACTTCTGGAGTTTCTCTCCTCTCCTCACTCGTGACTGCACGCTGAGACCTGACATCTTTCCAGCGGAAGTGGAACTGGGCTTCTAGTGCAGGACACAGAACTTGTAACACACATTAGGCCAGTTAAAACTGAATTAAAAAAACAGTATCTAATTGAACTTTAGGAAGAAAAAAACCCAAATCTTAGTGGAGAAACATAATTAAGTGTGATAGAAAGCGGAGAATCAAAGCCCACTGTACAAAAGATAAACGTCATTACTGAGGCATATTCCGCTGGCCTTGAGACATGCAGTCAGAGGCCAAGTGACACTCAGCTGTGAGGCAGAGGGTCAAAGGTGATGCAGGGCTCTGAGAAAATATTTACCAGACAGAATGTGATGATTCATTTACCAATCCAGAAATCTCAAGTATAAAACTTCAAGATATAAGAAGGATCAAATTATATCATGTTTGTGATTCAATTAAAAAATTCTTAGCCCTCTTACATTATATTATCTAGATTATAATAGTAAAAAAATCAAATTACATTCATATGAAACTTTTATCAAAAGAAATCAAATCCATTTTTATGAAATTTTATAGTACAATTATTTTTAGTGGGTCTTTTCTTAGGTCACAGTATTTATAATTCCATTTACATCTGTATAATTTTTAAAATTAAAAAACAAAAGCAAATCAATAGAAATCTAAGTTTTCATTTGTAAAACTCCCTTCAGTCTCCAGGCCAGCAACACATGGCGCTGTTGATTTGTCCTCCAGACATGGATGGTTCCCAGGATCCCCGGTCTATGAAGCATTCAGGCCTCGACTCATTAGGAATGCTTTTTGGTTTGGCTCACGTTGCAAGAAATTCTGGAGCATGTCCATGCCGTCCAGAGATCCCCCAGGTTTCAGGATTAGGTTTCTGTATTTCATTCCAACCTAATAAAAGAAAACATCATGCCTAATAACTCACGGGCGTAGCAATCCTCCAAATCCCCAGGCATAAGGGAGAAAGGGGTGAGGGTGAAGAAAAAGGGGCTTCGGTTTTACTCGGTCTAGACACTCTCTTCTGCCGACAAGGCAGCTCGACCCCTCCTTCCTGCAGTGAGGGATTTGGAGCCTCAGGTCTGCTACCTTGTTCACTATGGTGTCCACAGATCCCCAGCTGTGAGCCGACAGCACAGGCGAGCAGGCACACCAGAAGGAACACAGTTGGCTAGGCCTGTTGGCCCATTTCCAGTGTTCGGAAAGGTTAGCAGAGCGAGGGTTCCAGAGGCTAACTGGCTGTGTGGGCTTCAAAGCCGGAGCACAGTCACTGTCGAATGGCTTCAGGTATTTCTATAAGAGGTCACGAAAAAACACAACAAAACCACCACAAAGAAACCCAACCCACCTTCTTCAAGTGACAAGCATTTCTGAGGGGTCAGAACCAGTGTCGCACAAGTCTTTGGGGATGGAAGTCTGGATTTTAAAACAGAGCACAGTTCCTCTGCTTTTATTTACAGAAACACACAAGCAGATCTGTGGGAAGAAAATGGCTGCTACTCAGCAGCACACCAGCATCTTTAGGTTCCGGTCACATCCTTCCATTGTTGTGTAATGAAGTCAGTGAGTCCTAATTCCAGATGCACATATAAAACAAACAGATACCACTCGTGTTTATACTTATTGTGTGATTTGGTCAACAGGACCAATAATCTTCTTGGGTAAGGGAAGAATTAGAGAACTGCAGAGAGAAAGTAGTTTCAGCTTCGACTGAAAACAAAGTCCTACTCGTTGCAGCCATAAGAGAGAGACTGACTCTGTGAAAGAAGGGAAATGTGCTCAGCAAGACCGAGGCAAGCCTGCCCAAGGTCCTACAAGAGCCATGAAAAAAAAAAACAGGCAGACAGACACTCTGAGGTTGTCTTTTGTGCATAAACAGGAATCACTTGTAACTTAGCAGTGTTTATTAACCTTCCTAATCCTGTGACCCTCATGTTGTGGCAACCCCCAACCACAAAATTATTTTCGTTAGGCTGGGCAATGGTGGCGGTCGCCTTTAATCCCAGCGCTTGGGAGGCACAGGCAGGTGGATCTCTGTGAGTTTGAGGCCAGCCTGGTCTACAGTTCGAGTTCCAGGACTGGCTCCAAAGTTACACAGAGAAACCCTGTCTCGGAAAAACAAAAAACCGAAAAAAAAAAATTTTTTTTCCTTTGCTACTTCATAACTATAATTTTGCTATTGTTATGAATCATAATGTAAATATCTGAGTTCTGTGTTTTCTGATGGTCTTAGATGACCCCTGTGAAAGGGTCATTTGACCCAAAAGGGGTTGCGACCCACAGGTTGAGAACCATTAATCTAGCTGATGTGTCCAATCTTTTGACACTGTGACAGGCTGCTACATTTACAAAGCTTATACTCTCAGGCAATGGTATTACCAGGAAACAAACAAACAAAACAAAACACACCTCAAGACATTTTAGGTAGGTTGATGATTCTGTTCGGGTTATCATATATATTCATAGCTAGCTATTCTGAGCTGCATGCAGCTCAGTGTACTGAGCTGGATATGGCTGACACAAGCTCCTATTTCATAGTCTGAATTCCAGTTAGGGATAAGCAATTAAGCTTAGCGTTTGCTAAATGCTCAGGTAGCAAGACCAATACAATTATGAAGCACGTATTTACATTGAAATTTCCTATCAACAACATATAGAAATGTTTACAACGTGAAATTAGTATTTTTGGGTCTCAGGCTGGCCTCAACTTGCTATGCAGCCAGGGATGACCATGGATGGCCCTCTGATCCTTCTGTCTTTACCTCCTAAGTGCTTGGATTACAGGCACAAGCCACTATTCCCGGTTTCTATGGTGCTGGGGGTTGACCCAGGCCCTGTGTAGGCCAAGCAAATACTCTACCAACTGAGCTCTACCTCCAGCCTCGTGAAGTTAATAAACATTTGCTTAAATGCTACAGACAAGGCACAGTGGTGTGCTGTATTCTGCACCCCTGGGGGGAATGAGGTGGGACGGACGCGTGAGCTCCATCGGAACCATGATGTTACCACTTCAACACGTGAAGTTTGTAGAGATCACTGAGTTTTGTTATTCTTGTAAGCACTCAAAAACTACTGGCTTTTGTTGTTTGTTTTGTTTTACATGTATAGCAAGCCTCAAATCATTTCTTCAGCTGCAGCAGCTCCATTTTGGTTATTCCAAAGCTCTATTGCTATAGATACCATAGGATGAAAGGGTAGATTATTGAATCTACTTTTAAAGAGCAACAACTTGTTTAAAATTGCAATAGATTTTAGTTTATTACAAATTTAAAGTTAATTTTGTTATACTATATGTATTATTTCTACTCTTGTTTAAGGCATTGCTTGTACAGCTCATTTGAAATTGTAATGTGTAATTAAGAAATGCAGATTATTAGTCATCTATGATAATCAAACTTATAGTCATGTTAGTTAAGTTTTCTAGGTATACATAGATATATTTCAATTAGGTAGGCAATCTTCAAACACTTCAAAGACCTACAGAATATGGCATTTAAAATATTTTAGAAACTTATAAGACTTTATGGACAGTGAGACATGTCTGCTCCTGGCAGCACCAATTTACTTCAAAGAGAAAGATGGGCATTGAAGACACTCCATATGGAGTTTATCTTCTTCTTGGCAAAAATAGCCATTTGGGCAAGAAACTGTTCTTGCCTGGGCTGACTGACAAACTGTTGCATCAATTGGACATACAGGACCATAGGAAAATGACCACTGAATTTTGCCAAAACAAGTCAAGATGGTCCTTCAGGTTCCTGCTTTGCAGAAGAGACTTCAAGACATTCTGCAGGACACAGGGAGAAGCAACTGAGAAACTCAAGGCCTATAGGTTGAAGATGGATGCCCCAACATTACAGAGGAACTTTGGATGACTGTCCAGGTAGGCAGCTGTCTCTGTCATTTCCAGAATTTTGGAAGTTGCTTACAATGAATTTCCTGTTTACTTAGGTAATATTATATCCTTCTGGGGTCTTTGATGTAGTTGAAGATTAGATATTATAATTTTCCTTGGTTATTATAAAAGATAAATTAGATATGAACCTTTAGACTCATAAATATAGGATAGATACAATGTTTTCTTTTCTTTTTTTTTTGTTTTTTTTGTTTTGTTTTGGTTTTTCGAGACAGGGTTTATCTGTGTAGCTTTGTGCCTTTCCTGGAACTCACTTGGTAGTCCAGGCTGGCCTCGAACTCACAGAGATCTGCCTGGCTCTGCCTCCCAAGTGCTGGGATTAAAGGCATGCACCACCACTGCCCGGCTACAATGTTTTCTTTAATTTGGCCAAATACAAATAGACTAGATATTATAACTGTAATTCTTGCTTGATAACTATTTTGTTATATGTGATTTTACAATGTTAAAGTCTTTCTTTTTGATTAGACATAAAAGGGGAAGTGCTATGGGATATCTTTCTGCACACTGTGAATATGTGTTGCTCTGATTGGTTGATAAATAAAACACTGATTGGCCCGTAGCCAGATAGGAAGTATAGGCAGGGCAAGCAGATGAGAATTCTGGGAAGAGGAAGGCTGAGTCAGGAGTCACCAGCCAGACACAAAGGAAGCAAGATGACAAGGCAGAACTGAGAAAAGGTACCAAGCCACGTGGCTAAACATAGATAAGAATTATGGGTTAATTTAAGTGTAAGAGCTAGTCAGTAATAAGCCTGAGTTAATGGCCAAGCAGTTATAAATAATATTAAGCCTCTGAATGATTATTTTATAAGCAGCTGCGGGTCCTGTGGGGAGGTTTGGTGGTGGTGGGGTAGGAGGCAGGACCAGAGAAATCCTCCTGCTACACTCTATGTTGCTACTGAAGGCATAGATCCAGGGCCTGGAACATGATGATGTTTAGGAGTGTATGAAAATGGGCTAGTATGACACCAAGAAGGAACATAGCAATCTTGTTGCTTTATCTGGAAGCGTCTTAAGAAAAGAGTCTGGCCGGGCGGTGGTGGCGCACGCCTTTAATCCCAGCACTCGGGAGGCAGAGGCAGGCGGATCTTTGTGAGTTCGAGGCCAGCCTGGTCTACAGCGCGAGATCCAGGAAAGGCGCAAAGCTACACAGAGAAACCCTGTCTCGAAAAACCAAAAAAAAAAAAAAAGAGTCTGGCTGGGCAGTGGTGGTGTAAGCCTTTTATCCCAGCATTCATCACTCAGGAGACAGAGGCAAGCAGATCTCTGTGAGAGACAAGCCAACCTGGTCTACAGAGTGAGTTTCAGGACAGCCAGGGCTGCACAGAGAAACCCTGTCTCAAAAAAACAAAACAAAAGGGAAGAAAAAAAGAAGAGAGTCTGTCGGCCACTGCTGTTGAACTACTTGGTAACTCTGCCAATGAGGACTCGGAGCTTGGTTTCATTTGTGTCATTTTGATACACAGAAGAAAATATTAACAATTAAAAAATTTTTTTCTTATATGGTCTACAGTAATATCATCATTCTAATAACAATCAACACTCTAAAATATGACTGGCTGTTCTTGTCATAGGCTCCATCATTCCTGGAAGCAAATCAGAGCTCCTAGTCCACACACACTTCCTATCCTGTGGTGATATACTGTATACTCTAATAAAAATTACCTGAAGATCATATAGATTAAACATAGAGGCCAGGCAGTGGTGGCACACACTTTTAATCTTAGCACTCAGGAGGCAGAGATGCATCTGGATCTCTGTGAGTTCAAAGCCACTCTGGACTACAAGAGATTGATTCAGTCTAGGAGAGAAACAGAGGCAGGCAGTGGTGGCACAGACCTTTAATCCCCATACTTGAGATCTCATGCCTTTGTTACCAGTATTTGGGAAGCACACAGGCCATTAATCCCAGCACTAGGAAGGAAGTGAAATGGCTGGGCGGAGAAAGGCATAGAAGGCGTGAGGAGACAGGAAGT